CATATGTATATCTTCTTTGGAAAAATGTCTATTCAGGTCCTCTACCCATTTTTTAATCAGATTATTTCGTTTTTTTGATGTTGAGTTGTATGAGTTCTTTATTTATTTTGGATATTAGCCCCTTATTAGATACATCATTTACAAATATATTCTCCCATAGAGTAGATTGCCTTTTTGTTCTGTTGATGGTTTTCTTCGCAGTGAAGAAGTTTTTAAAAGTTTGAAATAATCCCACTTGTTTATTTTTGCTTTTATTTCCCTTTCCTGGGGAGACATATCTAGAAAAAAAGATCTAATGTCTACAACACTGGAGTTTACTGCCTTTGTTTTCTTCTAGGACTAGAAGTTTCAGGTCTTATATTTAGCTCTTTAATCCCTTTTGAGTTTATTTTTACATATGGTGTAAGATAATGATTCAGTTTGATCCTTTTGCATGTAGCTATTCAGTTTTCCCAACACTATTTATTTTATTGAAGAGACTTCTTTTCCCCATTATACATTCTTGCCTCCTTGGTCATATATATTAATTTACCATATAGGCATGAGTTTATTCCTGGTCTCTCTATTTTGTTCCATTGGTCTATGTATCTATTTGTTCCTGTGCCACTTAACTTACTGTTTTGATTACTGTGGCTTTGTAGTACAGTCTGAAATCAGGGAGTGTGATACCTCCACCTTTGTTCTTTCTCAAGATTGCTTTGCTATTTGGGGTCTTCTGTGGTTCCATACAAATTTTAGGATTATTTGCTCTAGTTCAGTGAAAAGTCCATTGTTATTTGCACAGGGATTGCATTGGATCTGTAGATTTCTTTAGGTTGTATGACCATTTTAACCATATTAATACTTTGTATCCATGAGCATGGAGCAACTTTCCATTTATTTGTGTTATCTTCAATTTCTTTCATCAATGTTGTATATTTTTCAGAGTACAGGTCCTTCACCTCATTGGTTAAATTTATTCCTAGGTATTTTATTCTTTTTGATGTAATTGTAAATGAGGGTATCTTCATAATTTATTTTTCAGCTTGTCATTTGTATATAGAAATCCAACATATTTCTGTACATTGATTTTCTATCCTGCAATTTTGCTGAACCCGTTTATTCAAAGAGATTTTTGGTGGAGTCTTTTGAGTACATATAGTGTTTTGTCATCTGCAAGTAGTGAAAGTTTTACTTCTTCCTTACCAATTTAGATGCCTTCTATTCCTTTTTCTTGTCTGATTGCTGTGGCTAGGACTTCTAGGACTTGGTTAAATAAAGATAGTGAGAGTGGGCAGCCTTGTCTAGTTCCTGGTCTCAGAGGGAAATCTTTGAGCTCTGCCATTGAGTATGATGTTAGCTGTGGGTTTGTCATATATGGCCTTTATTATGTTGAGATATGTGCTCTATATACACACCTTGTGAAGTTTTATCCTGAATGGCTGTTGAATTTTGTCAATGCCTTTTCAGTTTCTGTTGAGATGATCACATTTTTTATCTTCCTTTTTTCATTGTTGTGTATCATGTTGATTCATTTGAGGATACTGAGCCTTCCTTGCATCCCTGGGAGAAATCCTTATTGATCATGGTGAATGATCCTTTTGATGTATTTATTCATTCAGTTTGCTAATATTTTATTAGGAATTTTTGCATTGTTAGGGATATTGGTCTTTTTTTTTCTTTTTTTCTTGGTAGTGTCCTTATCTGGTTTTGGTACCAGGCAATGCTGGCCTCACAGGACAAATTTGTAATCTTGCTTTACTTTTCAGTTTTTTAGAATAGTTTGAATAGGAGTGATATCAACTCCTTTTACATGTTTTGTAGAATTCACCTTTGAAGCCAACTGATCCTGGACTTTTGTTCATTGGGAGGTTTTGGTTACCAGTCAATTTCATTATTAGTGATTAGTCTATTCAAGTTCTCTATTTCTTCCTGGTTCAGTTTTTCAAGATTGTGTGGATCTAGGAACTTATCCATTTCTTCAAAGTTGTCCAATTTGTTGGTATATAATTTTCCATAATACTAATATCATTTGTATTTCTGTGGTATTGGTTTGGTGATAACTTCTCTTTCATTTCTGGTTTATTTGAGTCCTCTTTTTCTTGAGTCTAGCTAAAGTTTTATCAATTTTGTTTTTTTCCTTCAAAGAAACAGCTCTATTTTAAAAATTGATCTTTTGTGAGATTTTTAGTCTCTATTTCATTTATTTCTGCTCTTCTGGTATTATTCTTACTCTGACCAACTTATTTCACTCAGCATAACACCCTCTAAGTCCCTCCATGTTGTTGGAAATGGCAAGATTTCTTTTTTTTTATGGCTGAAAAATATTGCATTGTATATATGTACCACATCTTTATCCATTCTTCATTATTACCTTTCTTCTATTAACTTTGGGCTTTGTTCTTTTTCTATTTCCCTTAGGTGTAAAGTTAGATTGTTTATTAGAGAAATTTCTTGCTTCTTTAGGTAGGCCTGTATTGTTTTAAACTTCCTTCTAAGGGCAGCTTTTCCTACATTCCAAAGATTTTTGAATTGTTGCATTTCTATTTTCATTATTCTCCCAGGTTTTTTTCTTCTTCTTCTTTAACTTCTCTGATGACCCATTGGTTATTCAGTAGCATGCTGTTTAGCATCTGCATGTTTATTATGCTTTTTCAATTTTTTTCATTGTAATTGATTCCTAGTTTCATACCATTCTGGTTGGAAAAGATGCATATGATTTCAATCTTCTCAAATTAATTGAGACTACTCTGTGGCCTAACATGATCTGTTCTGGAGAATGCTCCATGTACACTTGAAAAGAATGTGTATTCTACTGTTTTGGGATATATATATATATATATATGTATATATATATATATATATATGTACCTTTTAATTCCATGTGGCCTAATGTGTCATTCAAATCCAGTTTCCCTGTTGATTTTCTGTCTGGATGATCTATCCATTGATGTAAGTGGGATGTTAAAAGTCTCCTTACTATTACTATATTATTGTCAGTCTCTCCCCACATCTGTTAGTATGTGTTTCATATATTAGGATGCTCCTCTGTTGAGTATGTAGTTGCAATTGTTATACCTTCTTGATGGATTGTGCCATTAATCATTATACTATTCTCTTGTCTCATTAAATTGTTTGTTTTAAAGTCTATGTTGTCTGATATAAGTTGCTTCTCCAGCTTTTTTTCATTTCGTATTCATATGGAATACCTCTTTCTGTCCTTTCAGTTTCAGTCTGTGTGTCTTCAGGTCTTAAGTGAATCTCCTGTAGAAAGCAGATGGATGGATCTTATTCCTTTATGCATTCCATTATTGTATGTCTTTTTGTTGAAGTATTTAGTCCATTTATATTTAAAGTAATTATTGATAGGTATGTAGTTATTACCATTTTGTTAAATGTTTCCTGGTTGTTTTTGTTATTGTTCTCTGGTCTTTTCTCCCTTTCTTACTCTCCCCTCATTATGACTTCTTTGTTATGTTTGGATTCCCTTCTATTTGTTTTTGTGTGTGTGTGCATGTGTGTATCCATTATAAATTTTTGGCTTGTGGTTACCACCAGGTACTTAAGTAACATCCTACATATATAACAACCTATAATGTTGATGGTCACTTAAGTTCAAGTGCAGTCTAAAAACACTACATTTTTTCCTCCCCTGCCTCCATTTTTGTGCTTTTATACCTGCTGCCTTTTATACCTTTTTATTTAGTGATTACATTAGCTAATTTTTAGATGTAATTGATTTTACTACTTTTGTCTTTTTGACCTTCTACTTTTAAGTGATCTACAATCTCTGGTATATGTTTGTTCTTACCAGTGAAATTTTCCCTTTCCATATTAAACACATAAAGGATAAAAAAATCACTAGCCATAACAAACCCAGCATACATAATGTAAAATGAATATAATTTTCATTATGCATAATGTATAATGAAAATAATTTTTATCTAACTTATATGCTTGAATTACCAAGTCTTGGGTTTGGAAAGGGGAAGGGAGTGAAAGGTAGTTGCAGGTTTAATAAATAACCTAACTTGCCCAGAGTAGTCTGTTTTTGGTATTGTTCTTTTTGTGTCATTAAATGTAAACGTAAAAGTATTTTCTCTGTGAATTTCTTAGGTAAGAATCAATCCAAGAAAGTTACTAGGAAAAATTAGAGAATATTTGATGTAACTGTCTTGAGTAGAAGCTCAAAGCCTGAAATAGGATGAAAACTGAGGAAATACTACTGGGGAATAATTGCAGGATGAAAGTAAGATGGAACCATTGATGGAGAGAGTAGTTTATTTCTTGAGTTATTAACTAACTCTTTCACTGGCTTCTCTGAGAAGATCTTCTCCATTAAACAGTTCCACTCAGATTATGCCTTGTTTTCCATGGCTCATATATAGAGACTTTCTAATATTTAAAGTGAATATCATTATCATATGTGTTCTCTGATTGGTCTTCATTTATTTCAGATTAATGTTTTCTTTTTCTTTTACTCAACAAATTTCTGAAAGGTTGAGAATTTATTTCCACATTTTTTTAAACTTCCTCAAATCAGCAGCATTAGACTAAGTAAATGTTCAAATCACATATAGAATGAAAGAAAGAGATTATGAAGTAAAATGTTTTAAAAGGAGTTTTCCTTTTCATTATCACCTCTGAGCCATAATTATACTCTAGCTGTGCTGTTGCTATACCATTCACACATTTTTTCCTTTTTTTACCTGCCTGTTTATTTCCATCTTTTAGTCTGCAGTCTTTCTGGGGACAGAGTCTATGTCTTATTTATCACTGAATCCTCCATACTTGTTATAGTGTCTGACATAGGAGCTACTTAGTGGATATATGTTCTGTATGCAGGCATATCCAAATTGGATCAAATGTGAACGTGGGGGAGGTATATTTGCTCAAGTTTAAAAAAAATTGTCTTCCATCTTAAAGAGATCTGAATTTATTATCAAAACACTACAACAATAATTTTTCATGTTCTTGCCATTTTATTCAATGTTTAAAAATACTTTTTTGCTTTACTCTAGAACTGAACAATGCCACAAAAACATTCTTTACTAAGGAATATTTGAAAATAAAACAAAGCTTTCAAAAATCCAGCTCTGCAAAATGGCCCCTACCAAGCTGTAGAAAAGCATTCCATCTTTTTGGAGGTAAGGAAACTAATGCAGAAAAATTTTTTGATAACTTTGTCTATAGTTGTTTTTTAAAGCATTTTTCTTTGTCCCTTAGAAATGTTAACTGAAACGTATTTCTGCATGTATAAATTTTAAGTAAAGATTTTGCTAAGTGTACCTTTGCTGAAAGCTACGGTTGTATATAAGAAGGAAATGGAGACGACTGTACAGTAAGTGCAAAATTTGAAATGAATGAATAAATTTACTTTGCCATATTAATGTTTAATATGTAAATAATGAAATTCATCTCAAAAGTAACAGATTTGACAAAAGCTGTATTTGACAAAAGCACTGGTATTCTTTATAAAGATTGTGACTAACTCATTATCATCAACCAAGTTTATTTAGTTTTAATATACCACAGTTGTCCCTCAAGTTTAGAACAAGTAGAAAGTGTCAAAGATGGTGTAGAGAGTGTCTCAGAGGTGTATAATGGATGAGGAGTATCAACTTCTGGGTTTAGGTCTAACTTATTGTATGACCTCAGGGATGTCATTGAAACCTCTTTTTTTATTTCTGTTTCTGACTTGTAAAATGGGAATCATTTTCTCTCCCCATCTAATTAATACAGCTGTTGTAAGGATCAAGTGAGCCAATGTGAAAGCAAATTCTAATTTATAACTAATTACACTGTTTAGACATAAGGAATTATCAAGATAAGGGCAAGATTTTCTCTAATTCCCTTTTCACCTTTAGGAATTTGTTACTGTATAATGATGATCATACAATATGAAATAAAATATAATGACATTTTTTATAAGACCATGGTCTGTTAGAGCATGAACTACTGTGCAGTTTTAGTATTTAGCCCTTATGAATATTACGAATGTGGATGGAAAAGTTCAGATATGGGAACTATGATCTTGAGGAACAGGAGAGACTTCTACTTAAGACTGATAAGATCAGTACAGCAATGACGTAGACCAAAAGGAGATAGAAACAGAGCCTGTATGCTTGAGGCTAAAAATAAATTGATTACAAAATCCCTGGGGTTTGAAGAAAATAGTGTAGGGACAAATATAACTTTATAAACAGTAGTTTGAATGAAGGAAGTAATTTAAGGACATTATATAAGCACATACTATTTTATAAAGTGTTAAGTAACTATGGAAACTCATTTTCCACAGATTTGATATGGATACATTTTAAATATATTACATTTCACCCAAAATATAATATGAAATCAAATATAAGACAGTCTAACTTAAAGGACCTACACCAAAGAAGAGGAAATTCATAATATGAAATATGTGCTTTAAAAGATTCCTTTGTATCCTACCTTCTACCCTCTACCCAGTTTTTTAAAAGAATGAAGTACATTTCTGATAACCCCATAATTTCCTTCATCTTTTTTTATTCTGGGGTACTGAAACTATAATTTAAATATTTCATTCTTTGTGATTTCATCTTATTTGTCCTCCCCATATGAATTAGAAAGAACTTAGCTTTTTATAAGTTTTTATTAAAAAAAGAGGTTCAAAGTAATTGTATTCTACAATCTAACTAAAGAAATATATTACCAGGAGGAGCTGAGCTCAGCTGAGCTGAGCAGGAGCTGAGCTGTCAGGCTCTGCCAAGCTGAGAGTTAAGTCTTTAATCACTTGGTGCAATGGTGTAAGCAAAGCAAGAGTCTAAATCAGAGGAAAAGGCAACTCCCCTCATTCCACTTACCCCCACACTGGTCCAGGGTCAGGTGGGCCAGCAGAGTTGTAGGTGTCATCTCATGTTCAAGGGAGCCCAAACAGAAGGTGCAGGCAGTTTTATGAGTTTTATTGGCCCTAAGGGGTGTGTGTCTGTGTTTGTGTGTGTGTTTGGCAGGGTGGAGGCAGCAAATGGCTAAGAGTGGGTCTTTGCTCACTGAGGAAGTCTCAGCAGAGGTGACTGAAGAAGCCCTCTGCCCAAGGCCTCAGGTAAAGGACTTAGGATGCAGGGCTGGGACTCGAAGTGTAAATATGTGAAGGGGCATCACTGGCCAGGGCACCTGACACCTTGATGGCAACTCCTTCAGAGACTGCAGTGTGCTGGCTGCATGCCCAGTCTGGTGTGGGGAGGCAGCTTCTCCTACAAAGGCCTGCCAAGTAAAGCCCTGTAACCACTATGGTCAGGCCCAAAAAACTACAAATAGAACTTTAATCACAAATGAGACTCAATTACCAGTATTACTGAAGCACCTTCTGTGTATCTTCATTTGCTTCCAGTTTCCCTGATTTTGTATTTATTATTTCTTTATACAAATATACATGTGTATATTTAGTCAATGTTTGTTTTGAACTTACAGTATACTATTCTACATTTGTTTTGTCACTCAGCATTGTTTCTTCAATTCATCCATTTTAGTAAATGTAGCAACATTAATTCATTTTTACTGCTATACTATAATCCACTGGTTCACTATGTGAATGTGGTACAATTTATCCATTCTCTGTTGATGAACAATTGAGTTATGCAGGTTTTTGTTATTATAACCATGCAGCTATAAACACTCATTTCATTGGATCATAAGAGTTCCTGTGGAGTAAGTGCCAATAGAAAACTGCTAGATCATAAGAAAAACTCACTTTTTACTTGATTACCTAAACCAAACCATTTTCCTTAGAGACTATACTGATTTATCACCATCTTTCTCTATCACATTTGGGATTTTCAGCCCTTTAGATGTGCCAGTCTGATAGATATAAAATG